TGGGCTAAACACGCAGGGATAGTCATGAAAAGAATCACTGCATTTCAATTTTAAGAGCTAACTGTCTCCATTACAAACCTTGATTAAAGAAAAAAGACACTCTGCACAAGCCGTTATGATCAAGGTTTGTCTAGGCATAGAGCACCTAATGCAGTTGTGAAAGGCTGGTGATTCTACTCACTACCTTTAATGCCTTAGACAAAGACATTTCAAATGTGCTGATTACCTTCCTACTTGACACTAAATTAATTTGGACGGTTAATATTCTCAAAAACCAAATCAAAATCATAATGATTTGGCCATTGAAAACAATTGTCTTTAAAGCAGAGTAAAATTAAAGATGAAGTGAGATACTATGCTTAGAAACAGAACTATACAATTATATGAAAAAGAAATTAACTAGATGGCAATAATACCTCTTACCTTCCTCCATTCAATAGCTAAGACTTTGGAAATGCAGAAACAACCTGGACACTCAAAACTTCATAGTGAGAGAATTGCTTCTCCTCCCCGCTTTCCTGCCTCTTGGCTCAGGGACAGCCAGTCTAGGCCCATTATCTTCCCTAGTTTACATCCTAGTGTTTCCATCTACTTTGACTTAATACTCTCAGTGCTTACACCCACAATTTCCACATTTAATTTGCTTGATAATGTCTGCTTGTGCTATTTTATATTTCCAGAAGCCATCCTGCTACTGCTTTGCTAATTCATCTCTCTGCCTTCTTTTTAATCCACCTTCCAGTTCCTGATTTCTAATTATTGCTAACAACAATGGTAAAAGAACAATTTCTGAGAGTCATAATTGACCACAGCCTGAATAGCAAATTTATTATTTGCTATCCAAGAAAAGGGGAAAAAGAAAGGGGTAATAAAAATCCAGTCCCTTCTTTGTCTCTTTTGATTTTTGTTGGTTTAAAGTCCGTTTTATCATAGACTAGGATTGCCACCCCTGGTTTTTTTTGCTCTCCATTTGCTTAGTAAATCTTCTTCTATCCCTTTATTTTGAGTCTATGTGTGTCTTTGCATGTGACATGGGTCTCTTGAATACAGCACACCCATGGTTCTTGGCTTTTTATCCAATTTGCCAGTCTGTTTCTTTTGATTGGGGCATTTAGTTAACCATTCACATTTAATATTAATATTGTTACGTGTGAATTTGATCCTGCCATTTTTTTTTACTGGTTGGTTATTTTACCCTTTGGTTGGCATAATTTCTTCATTGCGTCGTTGGTCTTTACCATTTGGTTCTTTTTTGCAGTGGCTGGTACTGGGTTTTCCTTTCTGTGTTTAGTGTTTCCTTCAGGAGCTCTTGTAGGGCGGGTCTGGTAGTAACAAAATCTCTCAGGAATTGCTTGTCCGATCAACAAGGAAATCCAGGACTTGAATGCAGATCTGGACCAAACGAACTTAATAGACACTTACAGAACTCTCAACCCCAAATCCACAGAATATACATTCTTCTCAGCACCACATTGCACTTAGTCTAAAATCGACCACATAATTGCAAGTAAATCACTCCTTAGCAAATGCAAAAGAACAGAAAACCATTAACAATCTCAGACCACAGTGCAATCAAATTAGAACTCAGGATTAAGAAGCTAACTCAAAACTGCACAACTTCATGGAAAATGAACAACTGGCTCCTGAATGTCGACTGGATAAACAATGAAATGAAGACAGAAATAAAGGTGTTCTTTGAAACCAACGAGAACGAAGACACAACATACCGGAATCTCTGGGACACATTTAAAGCAGTGTCTAGAGGGAAATTCATAGCAATAAATATCCACATGAGGAGCAAGGAAAGGTCTAAAATCAACACCCTATCATCAAAATTGAAAGAGTTAGAGGAGCAAGATCAAAAAAACTCAAAACCCAGCAGAAGACAAGAAATAACTAAGATCACAACAGAAGGAGATAGACACACAAAAAACCCTTCAAAAAAATCAACAAATCCAGGAGCTGTTTTTTTTGAAAAGATCAACAAAATATGTAGACCACTAGCCAGACTAATAAAAAAGAAAAGAGAGAAGAATCAAATAGATGCATTAAAAAAACAATAAAGGAGACCTCACCACCAATTCCACAGAAATACAAACTACCATCAGAGATTACTACAAACAACTCTATGCACACAAACCAGTAAATCTGAAAGAAATGGATAAATTCCTGGACACTTGCACTGCCCCAAGACTAAACCAGGAAGAAGTTGAAACCCTGAATAGACCAATAACAAGGGCTGAAGTTGAGGCAGCAATTAATAGCCTACCAACTAAAAAAAGCCCAGGTCGAGTGGGGTTTATAGCTGAATTCTACCAGACATACAAAGAGGAGCTGGTACCATTCCTTCTGAAACTATTCCAAACAGTACAAAAAGAGGGAATTCTATTTGCAGACAGCATGATTGTATATTTAGAAGACCCCATTGTCTCAGCCCAAAATCTCCTGAAACTGATAAGCAACTTCAGCAAAGTCTCAGGATACAAAATCAATGTGCAGAAATCACAAGCATTTCTATGCACCAATAAAGACATAGACCAATGGAACAGAACAGAGGCCTCAGAGGCAATACCACACATCTACAGTCATCTGATCTCTGACAAACCTGAGAAAAACAAGCAATGGGGAAAGGATTCCCTGTTTAATAAACGGTGTTGAGAAAACTGGCTAGCAATGTGCAGAAAGTAGAAACTGGACCCTTTCCTGACACCTTACACTAAAATTAACTCCAGATGGATTAAAGATCTAAACATAAGACCTAACACCATAAAAATCCTAGAAGAAAACCTAGGCAAAACCATTCAGGACATAGGCATAGGCAAGGACTTCATGGCAGCAAAAACTGAAATAGACAAATGGGATCTAATTAAACTCCAGAGCTTCTGTACAGCAAAGGAAACAATCATTAGAGTGAACCAGCAATCAACAGAATGGGAAAAAATTTTTGCAATTTACCCATCTGAGAAAGGGCTAATATCCAGAATCTACAAAGAACTAAAACAGATTTATAAAAAACAAACAAACCAACCCATTCAAAAGTGGGTGAAAGATATGAACAGACACTTTACAAAAGAAGACATATATGAGGCCAACAAACATATGGAGTATGCTCCTCATCACTGGTCATTAGAGATAGAGATCAAAACGACATTGAGATACCATCTCACACCAGTTAGAATGGCGATCATTAAAAAATCTGGAGACAACAGATGCTGAAGAGGATGTAGAGAAATAGGAACACTTTTACACTGTTGGTGGGAGTGCAAATTAGTTCAACCATTGTGGAAGACAGTGTGGCGATTCCTCAAGGACCTAGAAATAGAAATTCCATTTGACCCAGAAATCCCATTACTGGGTATATACCCTAAGAATTATAAATTGTTCTATTATAAAGACACATGCACACGTATGTTCATTGCGGCACTGTTTACAATAGCAAAGACCTGGAACCAACCCAAATGTCCATCAATGATAGACTGGATAAAGAAAATGTGGCACATATACACCATGGAATACTACACAGCCATAAAAAACGATGAGTTTGTGTCCTTTGTAGGGACGTGGATGAATCTGGAAACCATCATTCTCAGCAAAGTGACACAAGAACAGAAAACCAAACTGCATATTCTCACTCATAGGCGGGTGTTGAACAATTAGAACACGTGGACACAGGGTGGGGAACATCACACACTGCATTCAGTTAGGGGGGGTAGAGGAGGGACAGCGGGGGTGGAGAGTGTGGGGAGGGATAACGTGGGGAGAAATACCAGATATAGGTGATGGGGGGATGAAGGCAGCAAACCATCTTGCCATGTATGTACCTATGCAACAATCCTGCATGATCTGTACATGTACCCCAGAACCTAAAGTATAATTTAAAAAAATAAAATTAAAATCCAATCCCATTCTGTCATTTGCGACTGAACATGGAATCTTATCTTTATATATTGAAATAATTATATAGTAATGAACCCTTCCTGTGTGCCAAGAACTGTTGTAAATGCTATGCATGCTTATTTAATTCTCCCAACAATCCCAGGATGAGGGGACTGTGGGTAATTCATGTTAAAAAGAAGTTAAATCAATTGCCTAAGGTGACACTGCCAATAAAAGTCGGAGGCTGAAGTCTAACCCAGATGGTCTGGCTTTAGATGGAGGCTGATACCTAACCACTGCCCTGTACTGCCTTGCCATTAGAACTGACTATGAATGTTGATCACAAGAGTCTGGCAAGAACAAATTAAACAGCACTTGGGTGACTATAAAAAAAATCTTGAAATGGCTCCCACATAGATCTTGTTGAAAGAGTTAAAGGAATTTAGGTTGTGCAAATGGAGTTTAGGGAGGAGAAAATATACTGGGTAAATTAATTGGGTTTCAAACATATAAAAGATTTTTTGAATAAATGAGTAAGTATTCTATATTATTTGAAGTTTGAGTGGAGCCTAGTCAGGAGTATTTATGTTGGATGGGAGGAATCAGATCTTGCCATCAGGTCTAAAGAAAAATAAATTGTGATGTTATGAAGGCCAGGGCCCAAGAGATAAGTTTAGAATAGATGACTGTGCTCAAGAAGGCCAGGACTCAATTGACTATACTTCACCCATTTAATTTTGAGCAGATTTGCTCTTTCATGCTTTTTCTTAATCTACTATTATCTAAAGTGTCAATAGGATTTTAGAACTGAAAACAACTACTTCAGTTCCCATATTCTATAGATAAGAAAACAGAATTGGAAATCAGACATGTATTGTCAGGACTATGCAGCGAGGAACAGAACTGAGTTTTGAGCCCAGGTGTTCTGACATTATGTCAAGAGCCTAGCCTGCCCTCTCCCCGCCTCTTTTTCTTTTTGGTGGAAGTAGGGTGGAGGGAGGGTTTCACAGTCACAGAATATTCTTGAGAATTTCTACTTTATGTAGTGAGATTGCTATGGAGTGAAAAGAAAGGACTATGGTACAGGTGCACGGATTTATGAAATGCTCTTTTTCTTTGTGTAGTATGAGCCCAGAGGACCTGGTCGGCCCTTGTACCAAAGAAGAATCTCATCTAGCTCAGTTCAACCTTGTTCTGAAGAAGTAAGCACTCCTCAAGATAGTCTGGCTCAGTGTAAAGAGCTTCAGGACCACAGTAACCAATCGTCTTTCAACTTTTCATCCCCGGAGTCCTGGGTAAACAGCACCTCATCTACTCCCTATCAGAACATTCCGTGCAATGGATCCAGCAGGACAGCTCAGCCCAGAGAGTTGATAGGTAAGACAGAGTGGGTGGGTAAACCGAATCTCTACTCCTCAGTTCCCAGATATCTGTGGAGTTTTTCTTCTACACCCCCTACCCCCAATTTTCATTATCATCATTGAACAGTATTTAATAATGCCAATAGCTCATAGGTGTGCAATTTAGGACTGTATTGATTCCATATATATATATATATATATAATTTTTTTTTTTGAGACAGCTTCACTCTTGTTGCCTAGGCTGGAGTACAACGGCATGGTCTCAGCTCACTGCAACCTCTACCTCCTGGGTTCAAGCTATTCACTTGCCTCAGCCTCCCAAGTAGTGGGGATTACAGGCATGCACACCCAAGCCTGGCTAATTTTTTGTATGTAGAGACTGGAGTTCACCATGTTGGCCAGGCTGGTTTCAAACTCCTCACCTCAGGTGATTCACCTGCCTTGGCCTCCCAAAGTTCTGGGATCATAGGCGTGAGCCACTGTACCAGGCCGATAATTTTATGTCCGGAAGGTTAGTAGATCTATCCATATATAGAAACTGATCATTTTGACCTGTGATTAAATGAAAGAAGAAAATGTCTCTGAATAGATAGACTCACCTTTGCTAGGGAAAAGTTTGTTTTCTGCTTTCTGTTTTTTTCCTTCAGGGGAGCGGGTGGGAGTTGCTTAGATTAATATGTTTTCAAGGATTCATTGTCAGTAAAGTGTTGATAATTTGCCATATAATAGAGTCTGGCTACGAGAGAGACTAGTAAAGTCTAACATTTTGAGATTTAGGAATCCTGTGTTTATTCCTTATATTCTGATAAACCGTAGAAGTCCATGGCTAAAGAGCAAAAAAGGCATAGAAAGGGCCAGGAATGGGTAAGACACTCTAACCTTGTACCATGTGTTGGAAAGTCGAGAGTCTGCCTCTTCAGCCTTAAAGATGAATGCACTTTTATCTTTCCTATGTTCTCTTTTTTTTTATAGTGAATGTAAAGGAATTAATTATACTGCTTGAATTCTCTGATTCCGTCTCTTTGTATACTGTAGACGTTGATCTTTGTGAACAAGTCTGAGATCTTTGTGTGGTGAATTTTTGCCCAGTAGCAACAACTTTTATATTTGAAACTAATTTTGTTCATCTTTAGTATGTGAATCTATTGTTTCTGTAACTGGCCCATTTTTGAATATGTGCCACACAAGCATATTTTTAGAACAATAGACGTGGTAGGGCAAAAAAAAAAAAAACAAAAACATTTAAAAGCTTTTGCTTTTATTTGCTGGCAAATGACATTGTCATTATAGTCTTTAAACATTCTTTAGTACCTGTTATGAGTAAGCTGCTGTATTTTGTCTCAGGTTGCTTTGTCTTTTTGTTGTTGTTTTTGAGACAGGGTCTCACTTTGTCACCCAGGCTGGAGTTCAGTGGTGCAATCTCGGCTCACTGCATCCTTTGCACCCCAAACTCAAATGATCCTCCTGCCTCAGCCTCCCAAGTAGCTGGAACTATAGGCACGTGCCACTAGGCCTGGCTAATTTTGGTGTTTATTTTTGCAGAGATGGGCCATGTTTCCCAGACTGGTCTCAAACTTCTGGACTCAAGCGATCTGCCCACCTCAGCCCCGCAAAGTGCTGGGATTACAGGCATGAGCTACTGTGCCTGGCTGCTTTGTCAGTTTTTGTTTGTTTTTTTGAGACAGAATCTCGCTCTGTTGCCCTGGCTGGAGTGCAGTGGCGTGATCTTGGCTCACTGCAACCTCTGCCTTCCAGGCTCAAGCGATTCTCCTGCCTCTCAGCCTTCTGAGTAGCTGAGATTACAGGCACCCGCCACCACGCCCAGCTAATTTTTATATTTTTAATAGAGATGGGATTTCACCATGTTATCCAGGCTGACCTCAAGTGATCCACCCACCTTGGCCTCCCCCAGTTCTGGGATTATAGGCATGAGCCTGCTTTGTCACTTGTACGGTCTAGTATAAATATACTCACTCACGTTATCATATTTGAATTTCCTGGCAAACATCTACATTACAAATCAGTGATGGTAATTTGTTACTTTTTTGGTTGTTTTATTATAATTTATTTTTAAGATAACATCATTTCTCTTCTTCTTTTCCTTTTTTTAACCTAAGTTTTAGGATAGCTTTTGGCCAAAATCAATAAAAAGCTGACCCAAGCTGATGAGGTAGAAAGCTCCTGAGCAAATGCTCATGTCATTTATGGTATCTTTTCTACAAATATAAAGTCATTATTTTCTTCATTGCTTGGAGACATGCTGTAGTGTTTTTTAGTTGAAAGTATCACTTAGTTAAGCATTGAAAAATTAATTCAAAATCATGAGTGTCCTGAAGCACAACCTCTTATCAATTTTTTATTTTTGGAGAATTGTAGTAGTGGCAACAGATATAAAATAATTACCTGAGAAACTTCTTACTGAAGTTAGAGATTCATTTCTAGAGCTTGAAGAAAACTGTTTATGTTATATTGATTTGAAATTTTAAAAAGATCATTGTGTTTGATATGGATATCAATTTACAGTTAAACTGTAAGCCTGAAATAGAAACCCCTATTTGGCCTTTTTAAATGTTGAATTTCTCATTTTGGCACTGAATACACTTTAGGCTGTTAGTAAATGCTTGTGGAGAAAAAAAGCTAATGAAACTAGATTCTGTGCAATTAAGGGGGTGACCCAGTTGCACTTCGGGGGGTGGGGAATAGCTCCTCCAACACAGGTGTGTTTGGTTTCTGTTCGCTTACCTGGTGACAAGACATACTTTAGCAGACCTTTTTTTTTAATGCATGAGATGAAAATTTTAGATTAGATAGAGATGTGTATTTTGGAAAATATTAGTTGTAAGACTAGTGAAATTCGTAGGTTCAGAGAATGTTTTCTCTTATTGGGAATATATACATGATTAATTAAAGCAGTCTTGTATTCATGGTTAGATAAGGACATAGGCATTAGGTTAAACTGTCTCTAAGCTATTATTTTCTAAGTATTTATTTATACAAAAGCATTTAAAACTAGGCCGGGTGCGGTGGCTCATGCCTGTAATCCCAGCACTTTGGGAGGCCAACACGAGCGGATCACCTGAGATCGGGAGCTTGAGACCAACCTGGCCAACGTGCTGGAATGCTGTCTCTACTAAAAATACAAAAATTAGCTGGGCATGGTGATGCACACCTGTAATCCCAGCTACGTGGGAGGCTGAGGCAGGAGAATCAATTTAAGCTTAGTGTGATGGGTGGGGTTTCTGTATCTATAGGAAACGGAGAAAGAATGAAAACGGAGAGATTGTTATCAGTGTCTCCTTTGCCCTCCTAGTCTTTCCCCATCTGTTTAAATTCTTCAGGACTCATCCCAGGTTTCATTTTCCCTATGAAAATTCCCTCCTGGCTCTCTCAGAACTCCCTTAGGACCTATCAGCATTCCCTGTTCCACTTCCATTGTTATTTAGCCATGCTGTGGGTTTATATATTATTTCCACAATAAAATGATAAGTTTATGAAGGGCTGCTCTAACCAACTGCGAACTTTCATAGGTCTAGCACAGCGGTAAGTGCTCAATAAATATTTATTGCATCGAGATGGCAGTTTAAGGTTTCGGATGGGTAAATGGGCAAATTCCAGATAAGAGAAGCAGCCTGTGAGAAAGCAGGAAAAGTGAACTGAGCATAACTCCCAGCCTTTTCAGTTAAGTAGAGGGTCTGTGAGAATATTCAGAATTTATCTGAAAAGAGGTAGAGGAGGAAAATAAAGGAGGAAGACCTCAAAGAGCAGAGAATGCAATTTGTTATAGAGCCACAGAAAACATAAACAATACTGATACAGGAATAGAAATACGATTCAGTGGAACAGGGAGACTAGAAAGCTCAGATACAGATTTCAGTGCACAAAAGAACTGAGTAATAATAAAAGTATGATCCGCATAGACAGGATGTTATTCAGTGAACGATTAATTATGTAACCATTCAAGGGACAAGTAAATGAACAGTCATATCTTTACCTTATGCCAGATAACAAAATAAATTGCAGATAGATAACATTTTAATTTAAAACAGGAAACCCTAAAAGGTTCACGAAAAGATGTAAATATTTATCTGACTTCACATAGGATCTAGTTCATGAATTTACTTAATAAAATCTGAAACATTTGTTGACAAAGTGAAAGCATTATAAATAAATTAAAAGGGAAATCACGAAACAGGTAAAAATATTTGCAACATATGTCAAAAGAATAGTATTCTTCACATGTAAAAAGTGCTTACAAAATAATAGGAAAAACAATAGAATCGTATGTCCAATAGAATAATGGACAAAGATAGCCTGCAAATAGGTAATAAACAGGAAAAAACTGTCCATACACACCAACTATCAAGGAAATGCAGATTGTAACCACAACAGGATAATGATTTACTTAATAAAATAGGCTAACTTTTAAACAGTAATAATCCCAGTGTTGTGATAGGGTAAGGCCATGGGCAAACATGGCTGGCTGAGTACACATGGGTGGCATCTTCCCGCAGAGCAGTTTGGCCACAATTGTCAGAAGCTTTGTACACCTAGGAGTTTATCCTGAGGAAGTAGCCATGAGGTACGTGAATTTGTACGGCTTGTAGATCCTGCCGTATACCTAGGCATTTACCCTGAGGAAGCAGCCATGAATATTTAGAAATATTTACCTGGAGCATCTCAGTCTATAGAAGAGAAAAATTGACGATAATGAACATTTCTAAATATGAGACATTACCTAAGTAAGTTATAAAATAATCTAAATCAAGTACTTAGGGAAAAATAAAACAACAACTTAAGGCTTATCTCTGGTATTGAAAAGTATGAATTGTCCTCAATGAATTTGTATTATGTTTATAATCCAGTACAATGTTATATACATTTTTAGAAGATTGAAAAGAAAAGCAATTATTTGAAAGCAAGCTATGGTTTAGTGAGCAATAAAATTGGTTAGGAAGAATGGAGTCAAATTTTAAGGGACCTTGAAAGGCAGATTATAGGAAATGTGAAGTCATTCACAGCCCCCATGCCCACACCTTACTCTATATTACTCAGTATATAATACAAGGAAGGGCAGCATTTTAAACAAATGGAATCCCATGGTACTATTATTTAGCTCCGTAATAAAAGCTGTTTGGACCAGGAGTCTGGATAGGCAGCTCTTTTTTATTTAAGAGAGAACATGTGCCTGTTTACAAACTATGAGCAGTTAGCAGGATAAATATCAAAGTGTACAGTTACACAAACTAGTTTTTTATTTCTCAGCAAGCCTTCAGATTTGAACGTGGGTTTTTATATGTTAGCTATTACACTTCTCATAGCTGTTCTATGTGTCTATAAGATAGAGACGTTTGGTTGGATGTGTTGTGACTTCAGCATTCTGTGGCAGATGATGTCTGTCCTTGCGGCTGTACTGCCGGAGTTCCTGAAGACGAAATCCAGTTCTGACACAATGAGTGAATGAGGCGCATGAACACTGCTGGGCTCACCCGTAAATCACTGTCACTGTTCTCTGCTTTTAGCGCCACCCAAGACTGTCAAACCCTCTGAGGATCAACTGAAGTCGGAGAACCTCGAGGTGTCCAGTTCTTTCAACTACAGTGTGCTGCAGCATCTCGGCCAGTTCCCACCCCTCATGCCCAACAAGCAGATCGCGGAGTCGGCCAATAGCAGTAGCCCCCAGAGCTCTGCAGGGGGCAAGCCCACCATGTCCTATGCCAGCGCTCTGCGGGCCCCTCCAAAGCCCAGGCCCCCTCCTGAGCAGGCCAAGAAGAGTAGCGACCCTCTGTCTCTCTTCCAGGAACTGAGCCTGGGGAGCTCATCTGGCAGCAATGGCTTTTACTCGTATTTTAAATAATCACTTTTTTTTCCCTCAAGGGAGAATGTTTTAATTTCTGTTTGTATCACTAGAATTAAGGTAGTTGGACTTCATCTATAGATGCACAGTTCCCTTTGTTTTAATATTAAGTATGTTCTCACTTAATTGCTTTGCTGCTAGACTTACAACTAATTTTTTTAAGTATATTCCATTATTTTGCATTTTTGATGTGTCAAAACTTTGACAGCTTTTATGTAGAATAAAAAAAATTTTTAAATTTGTGTATTGTTACATGTTTGCATCAAGCTAGCAGCCAAGAGGTTAATTGTGCAACTATAAAAAAAAAAGAAAAAAAAATTTTGTCTAAAATATATTTAAAAAGAAAAAAAAATTGTAAGTAGCATTTACATTTATTCAATAATATTACCATATGCTGGGTTTCTGTACCAGAAATGGCCAGTTGATGTACAAATGTATGTTATTTTTGCTTAAATTCATTTAAAATTTTTTAAAATAAAGGGGCAGCATCTTCTAAATACTTTAAGTTTTATCAGCCTTTTTTTTTTTTTTTTGTGACACGATGCTGCATTCTAAAACTTTTATAGTTTTAGACTATGTATGATGTGCTGTTGTAATCTCCATCCACCGTAGGATAGAGTTAAAGGCATTCTTTGCAGGCATATTTCGTATGCCACTGTTTTTTGAAATGTGAAAAAAAACGTTGGCATACTTAGTTATTTTTGGACAAGCTACACTTCAAGCTTGTTTTTAATGTTAATTTGATAGTGTGTTTTTTTTTTTTTTTTTTAAAACAAATCAAGAAGCTGAAAAATTTTTAGGATTGTTGGTGCTTAGTAGACTTGATAACTATTTTAAAAATGCGTGAATTTAGTAAAATTCTTTTTTTCTCACTATGCATGTGTAAATGTTTGTAACCTGGCTTCCCTCTTCTCCAGTGGTATAAAGAATTGTGCCGCTTCAAGGTTTGGGTCTTTTTTCCTCCAGTAAAAATTTTGGTACCTTATTTGCTGTTTACATTAAAATGTGACATTATATGTGGCAATTCAAATATTTTGCTAGCTGCCTTGTTTGAGGAACACCATTAAAGAAGAAATATGATGTTTGTCAAAAATGTATCAAAATTCAGCAAAATCTGGGGCAGAAAACTACCCCTGTTTTTCATGTCTTTCGATTCTTCTAAAATACCCGTATTGAACTTGTATACAATATAAAATTTAAATAGCCATCTTAAATATTCTACCGTCTAAAAATGGTTTTGAATGAATTTTGGTAAAATCCAAGGGAGAATGTTTACCCTCTTGAAACTGATGGTCTTGTCACACATTTAAAGCAATATATGTCCTTATCATTTTCCTGATCTAGTAATACTACTTTTATATTTCAGAGATAACCTTGAAACTACGATATAAACTTTAAAAAAAAATTAAGATGAGGCTGGGAACCTTTCAAATGAATGCAGTCTTCCTGATGATCCCTTCAAAAACGGGTTTTTGAAAGACCACTTTTAGTAGTCTATCCTGTAATCAAAGTACATTTTTAAAACCAGGATGAAAAGTGGCAAGGATAAAGAAAAATTACTGACATTTCTTCAATGACTGGCGTTTAGCTTATGTTGGCCAGCTACAGCCCCTTTTAATCCTCAGACTATGGGATAAAAGAGTGCCTTTGGTTAATGGTTAGCAAGCTCCAGGATGAACGCTGTGTGCCTCTTTTATTCAGCTCTACTTTTCTGCAAAGAGTGCAGTTTATTTGTGTGTGGCTTTGCGTTACAGGCTGTGGGCCTCTGTGTAAGGTGGCAGACATAGACCTGTAAAGTGCAGACGTGTTAACGGTTAGCATAAATCACAGTTGGAAAACTGAGCCAGCAAGTTAAGCATCAGGCTTTCTCTGTATGATGTCAGATCACCACATTTAGCAATGTCAGATTTTACTCCACATACTTTAGTAAGGAAGAAAAGAAAAGGTTTTGCCACGTAGCTATGTACTTTTAAGTCTATGACAAAACCCAAGATGTAGTCCGAATGAAAATTAGATCTCTTTGATTGAGAATGTTATGGAAAATAATTTTCTCATCAGTGGTTATCCAACCCCGAGCCCTCAGCCTACAGGACTACAATGCAAGCTAGATAAATGTTCAAAAGCATTCTTATAAAGACAGAATTGTCAAGTCAGGGCTTTCAGGTAACCCCTTGTCCTGAGGTAATTGCCTAATTTTCTGTTTTCTATACTTGAATCTTTAAAAAGCAGTTTTTAAATTATTTATATTTATATTTAGTTAAGGGTCATGGGGTCACGTGTGGACCCCATCACCTTATATAAGTATGTTGATGGTGGAAGCTTTGGATAAGGAAGCTATTAAGTTGTCATGACTTTGTTCTAAGCAGTTATTTCTAAAAACTAAAAATAATAGCTACTTATTGGCTCACCACTCTGCTGTGAGTAAATGAGCACTCCTCATTCCCTTATCATTTCATAGCCAGTTAAGGATTCAAATGTTGCTTCCTTCTGATGCTTTTCTTAGATTCTGCATCAGATGCTTATTTTGACTTACAACAAGCTTACTCTTCCTCAGCATTATGCAATGCCATCTTTCTAACTGTGCATTAAAGAACCTGCTCTTTACACATAGTATCTTGTAGCATTTTGAGCAAGTCTTCTGTAAGAATCATTGCAAGTTTCCATCAAAATGAGGCATGTCATCTGAGTACAGTTGCTATTCTTTGGGTATTACTTGAGTAGTATTAGCAAGTACCCATAAATCGGATTTATGAAACATAATTTATATACGAGGTTCAGCCCTTATATATACATATATATGTATATATGTATATAAAATTTTTTCCAGGAAACTTGATGATAGCTCTCAGATAATACCAAGTATTACCAGCTTCCATTTTCTTCAGATTTTTTTCTAAGTGAGGTGAATTGTTCATTTCTTTTTACATCTTTTTCCTTTGTATCACTCTGAAGCTTTTTTTTCTTTCCAGAATATTTTGTTTCATTTTTTAATTTTAATGCTACTTGAGATTTTATTTTTTCTTTTTTTAACCTTAAAGACATTATTTTGGATGATAGAGTTTGTAAAGTAGAGCATTGATGCTGAAAAATTTCTTTTCATGATCTAAAAATATTGTGTTATGATTTGAAGAAGCTCATTCCATGTAGCATGGATATTTTCTGGTGTGTTTTTAAAGGGGGTTTTGGTTGTCATTTGGGCATATGCTTTGCCAAATTGTTACAGCAGAACTTTGTTTTTGATTAATCGGTAGTTAATTATTGACCATTTAAACTAACATGACCTTAATTTTCCTTTCCTCACACAAATAGGCTTTCTATCCAGGTCATTTTTTTTTTTTTTTACACGTGAAATAACAAAATGCTTTGTGTAGGTTTTTTTTTTAATCATCAGATTTTAGAATAAGTTTAGGTTCGATGTAAACATCAACTGGTCTTTTCAGTTCAGAGAACTGCAGAATAAGTAAAATAAGCAGAATTCCCACTGAATAAGCATTACCTAATTAAACATAGCAATTTCAAGACCTATTTGTGAAGATACTCTCCTTTTTTGTGGCAGCATTGGAGTTGCTGAGAAAGCTAACTGAATTTCCTAACTTTGGGATAATTAACATATAGTATTGTGTTGCTCTCGTGTAGTTGATTTTATGTGTTTAATATTTTTCATCTCAAGAGCAAAGCTGCAGACATAACAGATGTATCTCTAGCCCCCTTAGCTAGAGTGAGCCACCTTCGTTAAGAGTCAGGGTGTGAAGAACAATTTGAAGATAAATTTTAGTATTTCAACCATTGTTATTAAGAAAATTAGACTTACTGAAATCCTCGTTTGAAAACAGACACTGACTATAGCATTGTTTTATAGAGGAATTATTTGTAAAAAGGGAATCCAAGAAACAATCTATAAAAATACAAGATTAAAACTTTAAATGTATTGAAGGATACAAATTGGTGCTTTCAATGTTACGTAGGCTAGCTATCGTTTTTCCCTCCAGCTCCTCAATGGTAGTAATTTATGATTTACCAGACATTATTTCTTGCTCACCATCCCCTTAACATATTGAAAATCCTTAATTTCTACTGCCACGCTATATGTTTTCCTGAATCACAAGTTAAATGTCTTAATGGAACTGTCTCTGCTCTGTGCCATCTGATCTACATTCAAACCATCTAGAAATTAGAACAGGTAATATTCTAACTATGAATTCTTGTTCAAAGGATCACGTAGTGGTGTTAATCACTTATAAAAATACCATCTTGAAAGAGTAAGTGGCATGTTAGTGTTGAAAGTGCTCATTATGATACGCGCCTCGCATTTCCCATCTGCTTGAGGATGGATATTTATTGGCTGAGACTTTAAAGCTGCCAAATTCACACTTATTGCTTTCATACCTGTTTCATTAGTAATGGCAAGACCATTGTTGGAAGAAGTGAATCTCACTAAACACATTCTATTATTACTTTAAACTAGACTATGAGATTCAAGAGATTTAAAAACAATTTTAATGTAATATTTAAAATTTTTTAACCAGTTGATAGTGTCTACTTTAGAGTGGACTTTAAGGAAACAGTCACCGGAGTTTCTAAAAATTTTTTGGAGGGAGGTACCTAATAGAAGAATCTAGACTTAGAAATGTTAACTGTGGTGCAATCCCAAACCCAGTTCTGCAGTGGTAGTCTAAGACGTCTAAAACTGGAGTGTTAAGAAAACCCAGAGACATTCATATAGTTTCAGTAATCAGAGTATTAGACCAGACTTTATTTGCAATTTGTTCAACAGAGAGATTTTATTTTGATACAGATATTAAGCATAAAGCATAGTAAGTTTTATATAATTCTATGAGTTCATTAAACAATATTATGACATTTTCATTATGTTCGTGGGGAGTCTTTTTAACTGTTTCTACCTCATATATGAGGTCTCTTCTGTATTTTACTTTGCATACTAGCATGTGATTGCCTGCCTTAGAACTATGTAGAGGAGGGGAAATCATTATTACCTTTTAAGAAATTTTTGATGTTATGAAGTAAGTGTTTTCATTAATACTTTTTTAATGTTTGAGAAGTAAAGGGGAAAGGGTGGCAAATTACATAGGTCACAACACAGAGTAGAAGTCACATAGTACTATTTACAAATCTGTCCTGTTTTAAGATTTTAGAATTGTGAACAGGATGGAGCAGTGGTTCTCAAACTTCAGCCAGTATCAGAATTGCCTCCAGGTCTTGTTCAAATTCAAATAGCTGGACCTACCCCCAGCATTTCTGATTTTGGGCTGGAGTCTGATAATCTACATCTCCAACAAGTTTCCAGGCAGTGCTGATGCTACCAGTCCAGGCACCACACTTTGAAAATCACTGGTCTGATTCTCACAGTGAAAGTCTCAGAGACCTTCAGAGTCTGAACGTCTTTTCAACCATGCATTGATTTTCTCAGTGTAAAAAACTGATCTCTGGAGACATTGTTATAAATCTGGTGCCACGAGTGGAACAGTCGTGGAGAAAGGTCTCCATGGAGCGACAGGACCTTTGGTTTGGCTGCCACCCCTCCTCGTTCTCACCCCTGCTGGGGTCTCTGCTGCTCTTTCACAGTAAGGTGAAGGAGCTCTTTGGTTTCTAGGGTGAGTTTGGTTTTGTGTACGCTGCTGCCCTGGCTTCGGTCTGGAAGCTGTGCATTTGTTTGGTGTGGTTAGAGTCTATCTTGATCCATATGCATGGAAACGAGAATCCTGGAAAGAAGCCATCAGAATGCCACGAGAATGCACCTTGCATTGATCGAGGCGCCAAGTGCAGAAGCCCCTGCCCTAAGATGGCAGTGGCACAGAGCATCGAAAACAATAGATAATCCCCAAATAATGTTTCCGTTTTTATGGTTATTTTTTTTTGGCGGGGGAAGGGTGATGAGGGCAAAGGATTTGTTTTTCAAATTATGTGTTTCTCAGGTTAACAAAGTTATTTTAGATCCTCTGCCATGCCAGCAGGTGTTAGAGAGAGCCTGAAGTGTTACATATGGCAGAAAATAAATGTCTCTGATTACTTTGCTACCTTTAAAAAAAATCTATGTGTGTTTGCAAAACAGCCTAGGGGGATCTACCACCTACACAGCATGAATTATTCATAAGTAATAGGTGCACATGTATGAGCAAGTTATTTTTGAGAAAGAAACTGCCTATAATATAAACCTGTCAGGCCTTTGGGTATATTTTAATTTGTGTGTTGTTGCTGTTTTAATATTCATGCTGGACTGCATCTTGGCGGGTATTGGGCTCTGCTTCTGGTTTTTAGTTTGGCATTGAATTTACTGAGATACTAGGAAGACAAAAAAATCTATTTTTAAGGTAATAGAATACAGAATGACTTAGGTGTAAAAGTACACATGAAGACCATCATAGAATGCACAGCTTTGAAGTTCTTAAGACACAGTCTTTCTTACTGAAAAGGCTCGCTAACCTTTGGAAAGGATTGTTTATATTTTCAGCACAATTTCCTTTATGCAGTCCCAACTTATAGGGGAGCTTTGGTTTATTTACACTTTGCTTTGCACGATAACCTTGTATGTGAAGACCTCTTTATATCTTTCAGTAGGTCAGAGGGCTCCTTGTCCTGGTTGAAGTCCCAAAGTGTCAGTTTCAGTTGAGAAAATGTTTCTCGGCCTCCCCCTATACAGAGGAAGGGTCCTGGATTTTCATAAATCCAGACCATACCTGCTTCCTATAAATCCATGTATATGACATTGTACTGTACCTGATTTCTGTGCCAGTCACATGACCTGATTCTTTAAACCCCATGAAGGTACTGGCTATATGTAGTAGTTGTATCCTAGATAAATATGGTGACTAAAATACTTCTAAATTACAAAGATAATGAGTTTTGCATTTTATTAAAGGGTCCTGTTATTAGTGATACAGGATTTTTTTTTTTTTTTTTTAATGCTTCATACATATAGTTCTTATCTAAACCTGTTCAGCTAACTTCATAGATCAGTTAGTTAGCAAATTCATACTGGGTCTGTTTTGGGAAGTCTTCCTGAGGGAAGCTGTACAAAACTGAGGTGGTCAGTTTTGTCTTTCAAAGTACCAGTTATATAGCCATCTAAATAAGCATAATTTATGGCAAAATTAAAACAATTTTTTTTTCTTTGCAGTAAATGATACCTCATCTAAGAGGCTCTAATACCTAAAGAGTTTATCCTTAAAAGTAAAAGTGACTTTGTACCATAAAATAACCCCAAAGCCACTCTCTGGGGCTTTTTATTTTCTTCTTTGTCATTTTCTTTTCTAACTTAGTTTTGGAATTACGTTAGCGACTTTGGTTCCATAAAACAAGTTTTCAACTTGGGGTCTACAGTTCTACAGTGTGGTCATTGTCTCAGCGAAGTTCTTTTGTTTTAAAAGATTCATGGTAACACAAAATGTATTTTACTGCTACAACTAAAATGTATTTATAATAAAATGCCTTTTTAATAATTTGGAGATTTGTTTATTATCTGTGAACTATGATTCTCTGCTTCCTTTTGCTCTTAAGATCAAAGGTCTGACTGAAGTGATGCACAGCACTTTGATTTTATTCCTAATATTAAATGGTAAAATGAATGTAACTGAGAACTCAATGTGAATTTGTAAAGTCGTAACTCTGCTTTCCAGAAATTTGTGACTTGGCTTAAATCCCCAGACTTCAGCAGTAACACTCTTAAGACTTAAAAGTGTTACCTGAAAGTTTAAAGATCTCCAGTGGTCAGTGAGAAAATGAGCCCTTTTCAAATAGTCATTCAACATATGTCTTACGAATTTAAAAAAATTATGAATTACTCTTAAGTCACTTAGTTGTTAATGCGGCCCGGAATTTATTTGAGAACTCAATAAACCTAGTTTACAGCAATATGTTATGTAGATATAATCGTGCACTTCACAGTAATGCCTGACAAGCATTAGTTCAACCACCAAAAAAAAAAAAAAGTGCTGGTTGTGCAGAAAATTGCCCTGAGTCAAGGTCTTGTTTTTCTTGGGGAAATAATTCTTTGCATCTGCCATGATGTGATTTTGAGAAGCATTAGCAGGTCACAGAAGGCTTTGTGTGCCCTGGCTGTTTTATTTTTAACATCCTATTAATGTGGCACTGTAAATCTACTTGAATATACTGTGCTTCAAGTTTGTAAATGTTAAGTAGATGGGACGGTCAGCCTTTCCTAAGGACAGTGTACCATTTGTACTCTCCTAGTGAATCCCTTTTAAACTAGGTATCTCACTTTGAGTTGAATTGATTTGACATGACATTAATCTAATCTAGACTTTAGAAAGAGAAACTTCTTTCCATATAAATCAAATGGATCTGGGGGACTCCCTGAGCTGCTCTCTGCTCTAGATGAAATAACCCAAGGCCCCACTTTCAGTGGGAAAAATGCAGATGTGACTGTCTCAGGTGTTAGCCCTGTGCCGTACTGATGCCCTATGAAGCATTTTTTCTGAGAATTGTATTAGTATGAAAGTTAGTGTGAAAATTTACTTAAAACAATCACTTCCTTTCATCTAAACTGCAAGCATGAAGAGTGAAAGCTGGTTAGCAGAAGCAGTGCTGGCGTGGAGAGCCGTGTGCACCTGACTTGGTTAAACTGGAACGTCCAGGATTCTGTGGTTAGCTCTGAACAGCCAAAGAGCACTTAGTCTGAAATTGACTGCTGCTTGAGTTACATAGTATTGTCCTAACAAATCAATTCCCTAATCGGTGGAAATCCTCTTAAGATTTGAAGAGCCCTGTGTTGATTGCACTGCCTCACTTACACTTCATGCTACCAACTGCAGCCAGTTCCCTTTCTGAAATACATCAGATTGTCCCACTCTTGCTGAAAAGCCATCAGTAGCTCTCCATCACATCCTACACTTCTTAGCTGGACATCAAGACACCCAAGGCTTGTTCCTGAGCATTGTACACACCAGCCTATAGCAGATCGGTCAGCATCACTTCCTGAACAAGCCCTTGACTCTGGCCACTCGATTTTGTGTGGAGCATGCCCTTCAGCTCTCAAGACTCCCATTCCCTAGGGATACTTATTTCACCTCTCACACTACCCAGCTGGAATTAGCCCCCTTGTCTCTGTGCTTGCAATTAAGCTTTATGCCTCCTTTATCAGCATTTCTGTGTTATAGTTGGGAGTTTAGGAGCTTTTGGGAAGCAGAGATCGTGTCCTCAGACCTCTAAGCCACCCACAGCAGCTCTGTGCCTGACATGGCAGGCCTTTGATGAATGCTGCTGAACTGGATCTGGGGGTTTGATGGAGAGAAGAGCTTAAAGATGCTCTCCCCTCCCCTTGACATTCTTTGCCCACACAGTGTGGCCTTATGACAACACTTGGTGGGAAAGTGACCTGGGATGAAGGAGGAGTAAACTGTCCTCTCCAGTGACGTCTCTGCCCATTCCACATGGTTCTCTGAGCAGTGGCAAAGCATTAGCATTCATGAGTTTGAGTATTTTGTGTCTTGCCTGGTGTCACTGTTAGAACCCTTCACTTGACAGCTTCACCATGGTTATGTCATTTTTGATGGATGCTGCCTACTTTCACACAGGCCTGCCATGCAGCGTTCTGAGAATGTGATGAAATTCCCCCTTTGTCTGAAGCTCTGGTTGATTTGAAATCCACAGAGGAAGGTAATTAAATTGAATAGAAGCTGCAGCTTGCAAAACCTATGGTATTATCACACTCTTTGCTCACTGAAACTGCTGCTGTGCAAATTGATTGGAACCTTTGTTTCAGGAAGTTGCGCTGCAACTCCTTGAGAACAAAGTGGTGCCGGCTAGGGGATCTGGAGGAGCCAGTGAAGGACTCTGAAGGTAGGCACGGCCAGGTGGACACTCAGCTCACGTGCTCTGCTCTCTTGCACACAGAGCCATGGGAGAATGGAGTTTTGATATTGTTTGCTCCCAAATTGAACAGAAACACTGATGACAAGCTGTCTGGATGTAGGAGTGCAGTGCCTGAAAGCTTTGGAGACCTTGCAAAGGAAACTCGGAAATGTTCCAATTAGTCTTCTGAGTTTTGTTTCCTTTATAGGCAAAAGATATACACAGGAGGCTAAAAGGAAAGTGAAGGGCCGGGCGCAGAGGCTCACACCTGTAATCCCAGCACTTTGGGAGGCTGAGGCGGCCAGATCACGAGGTCAAGAGATCAAGACTATCCTGGCCAACACAGTGAAACCCCGCCTCTACTAAATACAAAAAGTTAACTGGGCATAGTGGCACACCCCTGTAATCCCAGCTACTCGGGAGGCTGAGGCAGGGGAATCGCTTGAACCCAGGAGGCGGAGGTTGCAGTGAGCAGAGATGGTGCCACTACACTCCAGCCTGGCAATAGAGCAAGACTTAGTCTCAAAAAAAAAAAAAAAAAAAAAAAAAAAGGGAAAGTCCGGAAGTCACAAGAGCATGTGGCCTTGTCTTTGTGCTTGGTCCCCAAACCCACCTGCTGGTTAAGACTTTCATCTGTTTAGAATTCAGGGATGTGCATGATTTTCCAAAGCTAAATAGAAGTGGGTGCTCTAGGTTGCTTTTCTTAAAGTTTTGCAAATTCAATCCTCTTAGCTTTAAAACCAGGTGTAAAGCAAGTTGTATAACCTGGGACAAAATTAACAGAAGAGTATTGAGAGATGGGGGAGTGAATAGGCTTCATCTTGATGGATCAAATCTCAGGGTGGCTGTTGAGGATCACAGGTAATTCCTAACCTAAAATACTCTGTTAGGTTCCGCTAACAGAGTAGAAGATCAACTTTTTTGGAAAAAAATAAATTGTAATCTAGTGTAATTATATTTTTAGAAATCTGTTTTGTTTTTTTTTCCTCTGTTTCCCAGGCTGGAGTGCAGTGGTTCGATCTTGGCTCACTGCAACTTCTGCTTCCCGGGTTCAATCAATTCTTCTGCATCAGCCTCCCGAGTAGCTGAGACTACAGGCGCATGCCCCCACACCCGGCCAATTTTTTGTGTTTTAGTAGAGACATCGTTTCACCATGTTGCCCAGGCTGGTCTCGAACTCCTGAGCTCAAGCAGTGCGCCCGCCTGGGCCTCCCAAAGTGCTGGGATTGCAGACGTGAGCCATGACACGCTCCTTGAATCTCTCTGTTCTTAAAGGCTGTCAGCTGTTGTGTTTTAGCTCAGAAAATTATCTCATCTCAGAGCTGTGCAGCTGTGGGCTCTGCTGTAGCAAATACAGCTAGCTCAGTTACATTGATCTGACTCAAGCCACGCTCAGGGACAAGCCACTCTGGCTGCCAACACCTGAGGCCAAGGACCAGGATTTCGAATGAGCTCTTTTGCACTCTTTTCTTGCTTCTAGAGGTCTTCTTACAGTGTGGATTCCTCCCCCACCCCCCTTTTTTTTTGAGACAGGGTCTCACTTTGTTGCCCAGGCTAGAGTTTAATGGTGCAATTATACCTCACTGCAGCCTCCGCCTTCCGGGCTTAAGCAATCCTCCCACCTCAGCCTCCTGAGTAGCTGGGACCACAGCCGTGCACCACCATGCCTATTTATTTATTTACTTTGGTAGAGATGGGGTCCTGCTATGTTACCCACGCGAGTCTTGAACTCCTGGGCTCAAGGGATCCTCTTGCCTTGGCCTCCCAAAATGCTGGGATGACCGGTGGGAGCCACCACATGCAGCCCTGATTCTTTTTTTGAAGCATCATTGCATGCATTCCTCCTCCGCATTCCCTCGGTGACTAGTTCAGGAGCTTATTCAAGGCACTCGCATGTCCTGAGGGCACCGTGTGCTGCTGTGCAGAGGGTTTGGCAAAAGGATTGTGGGAAGGGGGAGATTCTAGCTGGTAGGATGATTCTGCAGAAAACACAGGCCTTACTGTCAAAGAATTCTTAATCAGCAAGGCGTGTGGCCCAGTGAGCTGTACTCCAATGAGGTAAGTACTAGAAATAGGAACAAAGTGTTAAAGAGGAGAGAAGCATGAAGTTTGCCCTGAGGAGTTGGAGAACCTCTCACCTCATAATGTCTGAGCTGGGCCCTGCAGAGTAGGTTCAGTAGGGTAGAGAGGGCCAGGCCACATGCCCCTTCCCTGCTTCCAAGGAGTCCTCCCTGTTGATGAAAAGAGTCAAACTCCATAAAATATTTGAAGAGATTTATTCTGAGCCAAATATGTGAGACCATGGCCCGTGAGACAGCCCTCAGGAGGTCCTGAGAACATGTGCCCAAGGCAGTCGGGTATAGCTTGGCTTCATACGTTTTAGGGAGGCATGAGCCTTCTGTTAGAACCTAAATATATAAGGCAGATTGACATTTTACTTTTATACATTTATTTAGCAAATACAGATTTATAACTGCGTCTTGTAAAAGCAATTCGTTAGGGCAATTATGATATTCTGAAGAACACAAACATTTGACATGAGAATTTATGGAAGACAGAGACAGTCTGATAACTGAATCAGACATTATTTGTGTCGGTTGGACAATATGAGCAAACACTGCATTCATAAAAACAACAGTAGTAGATTTCCTTGTCCACCATTTTACCTGAGCCAGACATGCGTGGGCCTGAATTTTTACGGAGACCGGCACATAACAAAAATCCTAACCCATGAGCCACATACAAGTTGAAACAT